TTTGTAGTAGTACAGAGAATGAAAGGAAATGCTTACATTGTAGTAGAGTTGGACAGAGTAGTAACTAAGCTATATATTATAGTATTTTGTTTAATTCTGTATTTTCTGTGTTCACATTTAACAGTTCCAATCTTGTATCTTATTAAGACAGTAGAACTGACACTAGAAGGTGTGGAACTGTATAGAATCAGTTACAAGAATATAGATAATCTAGACAACTATACTTTGAATACTACACTTGAAGTAGAGCCAAGTACAGAAGTCACAGATTCCTGATCTGAGAATACACAATTTTTCAATATACTCTCCTAGTCTTGTACAGGGAACTATACTTAGGGATCAACCCCTTACTAGTAACACCTAACTGTTGTACAATTCTGTAAAATACTGTGTTTAACCATAATTGTATATGCTTTATTATATTTTACATTCTTTATACTTCTAATCTTTTATTACATTCCTTCTCAAATTTATAATAAAGTACAAAAACCTATACAACATTCTATAACTATAAAATCATTATACAAATTCCTATTCCATTCTACTTAATTCTATCCTATTCTATTAGTTCTATACATAAATCATAAAAATATCTATCCATCTATTCCATTTCTCTAAACTCTCTATCTTATCTATTTTCCTATTCATTCTATCTACTTTCTATTCTATTCTACTTTATTCCTCACACTTCTGTCTTTCAATTCACAAAAACACAACTTTAAAATTTTTATTTCTATATATATTATCTATCCTATCCTATCCTCTGTATCTTTTACTCTAACTCTTTTACTCTACTATTTACAAAAGCTTCTACTACTATAGTAAGAAAGTTTATACTATACTTAAGAGTTATAATCCTTATATTAAACTCATTCTTTACTGTTATCAGTTACAACTCTATATTGTTCAGCTCCTTGTTTATCTACAAGCAGATACTGTAGACTGTTTCAGTCTTACTGTGTGTAATTAGAGGAATGACAGAATACAGGCTTTAACCTGTATTGTGTACTTTCACAGTTTGTACTCTAGTCTTATACTAGATTCCTTTTAGGCTACATTCAGAGTAGTAGAATATGTATACTATATACTAGTTTTCTATACAAATGATCACTATTAACCTAGTCAAGAACAAGATTCACTTAGACTTACTCAGGTTGTTATAATACAGCTAATCTATTACAGTCTAGTAAGTAGATCTTTAAAGACTCTTATGTCTCTCTATACACTTTACACACTTAGGCATATAGAAGATTATTCCCTCTACCTAATCTAGAGAGAGGTCCTTGTCCTCCTTACTTAAAGATACTACCTTAACCTTCTAGTTTTTTACACATGTTTCTTTGCTAGAGACTAGAATCTCTACCTTTATAATAGTACACTTCTTGTTTAGAAGTACTAGTAACAACCCTAAACAACAAATAGAGTCAGTATACCTAGAAAATTAAATAACCCTCATCTACTATACTTATTCCCTTCTTCTTGTCATCCTTCTTCTTTTCTAGCCTTGTAACTACTTGAGAAACTAGGAAAAATGTAGTATTAGTATAGTACAATTTATTAGTATACTTATACTTACTAACTATTACCTATTTCTCCTTCTCTTCCTATCTTATATTAACCTTCTCTTTCTCTACTTTCTTCTTCTCTAACATTGTAAGTGTCTCAGAATCTGTACAAGTAGACACATTAATAGTATATAAAGTAGTAACTATACTATATAGTATACTTTTTGTTTTCTGTGTCTTAACTATAGACTTCTTCTTTTCTAGCTTTATAATTCCTTTAGAAACTAGGTAAAGACAATATTAGTAGTACACAATTTGTTAGCCATACTTGTACTCATACTTTTCAATCCAACCTTCTCCTTCCTTTCCTTCTACTTTATTACTAACTATACTAAAGTTATAACTTTCTCCTTCTCCTTTGTATTAACCTTAGTCTTTGTACAGTCTTCCTTCTTTGTCTTAGCTCAAGCCTCTTCCTTAGCCTTTGTCTGTATTACTTTCTCAGCCTCTACCTTTGCTTTTACCCTAGTAGTAGTCTTGTCCTCCCTTACTTTTACAAGTTTCTCTACTATTACTTTACAATTTACAAGATGTTCTGTATTAGTAAACAAATTAGAAAGTAGGAAATTAGGGACTTACTACTAGACTAACCTTCTACTAGTACAGAAACTACCTCCTTACCCTCTGATTTGTCATCATTATGAGTACTATTGTCTATACTCTCCTTGTTTTCAGACTTAGAGTCTATGACTAAGCTATTAGTTTCTCCTTCTACAAAATTATTCTCTAGTTTGCTCTTAGTATTAGAAACTGTATAATACATTAGTATATGAGTTAGAGACAATACACTTTGTAGAGGTACTTACTAAGTGTATGTTCTAATAGCTTGTCATCTACATTCATTCCCTTACTAGATACTGTATTGTTATATATACACAAATATAGAGGAAAATCACAAAATTAGTATAGGACAGTAGGAGAGAGTGTAACACTTACTGTTGGATTTACTAGGGAGTAGTAATGACATAGTAAAAGTGGTGGAACAAAGTAGGAAGATTAAGTGACAAGGTTCTCACACACAGAACTTACATTTAGTCTACTAATCATCAAATTAACTATGTAACTACAGACAGTTACAAGCAGACATACTAGGAGATGAAACAATTGGCATTATACTAAGAACAGTACATTACATACAGACAATCACAGTAATTAATTCCAAACATTTATGTGACTTATAAAAGTATCTCTTAAGAACACTCAATTATTCTGTATCACAAATGTTTACAACCAGAACTGTAAATGTGTATAGTCTCAGAAATAGACTTACACACACTACTCACATTACAGGACATACAGATTACATACATTTTATAGGCTCAGAATACAAGTTGTGTTATAGTAGGTAGCTTAGCAAACTATTACATTATTATTGTCTAGATTAAAGTACTATAATCCTCTAATCAGATAGGACATTAGGGTGATCAAAGTAATGATCTTAGGAGACAGCCAGAATCTCAGAATTCTCTACACTTGGTCTACACTAATCAGATAGTAATAGTATGTAGACCTTCTACTTTCTTTAATATAAATCTTGACTTTCCTTTTGTGTAACATTCCTTATGGCCAGAATACAAACTACTTAAATTCCTTCATACATTTTTCACTCTATTTGTTCTAACCTCTAGTAAAAGGTTCTCTTATTTGTTTATGTAATTTTTGTTATTTTCTTTTATTCAACCCTAACATTTCCCTGTTAGTACTATACTTTTCTAGAACTCAGAAAACTATAAATACAGTTACTCATATACTAGTTACAGAGGGAATTCAGATAGTTCACCTATTGATTAGTTCTCATCTTTTGTCTCAAAGTCCTCTAGTATGAGACATAGTTCTAGTCTTAAATGTTTTCCATAATACTCTACTTGTTGTGTACTTTGCAAGTACACATTCTATACTTCATGTCTCCCTTCTGAGATTGTACCTATGTTAGAAGAACCTGTATACATTCAGAACCACTCTAGTCTTAATAGGACTCATAGTTTAACTCCCCTCAAACTTATTAACTCACTTGTACTCTACTCTAAATACAACACAGGAGTTTCACTATGATTCCTCTAGTATGATAGACACTGTAAACAACACATACACACAAGTACTTTGACACACTGTCTAAGTATCTCATATACACATTGAAACACTATACTCAATACAATTAAACAATATACTATAGTGTGTAGTAATATGAACAAGCAGAGTAGTAACTTTAATAGTACTGAATACTCATAAATAATACATTCAAACACTGAACAACTTTATTCCACACATCAGAGATGTGTTATAAGAATAACATCTTATGTTATAGACAAGTGTTTAATATTATAATAATGATACAAACAAGATTGATACTAATAGTAAGTATATGAATGCTATAGAGCATATATAAACAATCTATAATGTTGTAGACAATGTACTTCAACTAAATACAGTGCATATATTGAATAACAATTATATTTAATTAATAAATATGTTGGAACTAAGACATCCAAACATTTAAGACATACAGACATGTACAAAGTTAACTATATACAAAGTGACAATGTTACAAAGCAAATATAATAACTACTGTACAAAAGCAAGAGTAGTAACTATAATTATTGAACAAAGAACTATGTATTAAACAACATTGTATAAATGTATAATGACAACAGACTAAAGAATAAATACTTATACTACATATAAAGTAAAGTTAATGAAACACTACAATAGTGTATAGTGTATATACTATAACAGAGTGTGATATACTAATACTACAAAGCTTAAAGAAGTAAAGTATTATGTTGATACAACTAGTATATAAATTAATCAATCTAGTAAGATGATTACTAGTGATTTTATAAATTATTCATAGTAAGGTAAGGAAAGTATAAACTCGACATAGTATGTCACATCAGTCACAGCACAGCCACTTCCCCATTAGGAAGGACCCTGATGGCAAAAATCGAGTGGTGGACATTGACATTTTTTTTAGCACTTGTAAATACAAAAAAAAATATAGATTATGGTTTTACAGCTCAGCCAGAATACTAGCTGGAAGGATTCTATGGCTATAGTATTTCTTATTTGCCTATTGAGCCTGTGCTCCTGTCAACCCCTTTCTATATGCATCCATAAACTGAGCAGACTGGTTACAATACCTACAAAACATATAATAAAATCAATTTTGTAAGAAAGAAAGATTTAAAGTACTTACTTTTGAAAGAAATTAAGAGGAATAGAATCAAGGCATGTTTGAACATACTTTTCCATTTGAGCTTCAGTAGTAGGGGCAGGCATTATCCAGTAGTTGAATTTAGTATAACCCTAGCACTGTTTAATGAAGTTCAATTCATAATGGAATTTAGGATAAAAAACTGCCTTGCATCTATAACCTTCTACCAATTCTTCAATTACAGACTTTTAAGCTTGAAAATCTGACTGGTTAAACAGAATTTGTCAACAGTAGCATACTGATTGTGCTGATTTGTCAGCACACTTGAAACCTTTGCATTGTGTGTGTTTTCTATCAACATTAATTCCTTGTTCTTGAAGGATTTGGGCCATCCCTTTAGATTGGCTAGAATAATGAGGGTAGTTATCAGGGAAATAAAATGATTGTAATGAACTATCAGGGAGGACTCTAGAACACATAGGAGGGGCACCAGATGTGTCTCTAGCTTTCCACCCTAGATTTTTAGACATT